ATACAAAAATTAGCCAGGTGTGGTGGCACATGCCTGCAGTCCTAGCTACTGGTGAGGCTGAAGCAGGAGAATAGATTGAGCCTGGGAGGTTGCAGTGAGCATGATCACACCAGTGCACTTCAGCCTGAGTGACAGAGGTACTCTGCCTCAAAAAAAAAAAAAAGAGGGGCACATATTCTGCACATACAAGTTTTGATTTAGTACAGTGTATAGTTTCCAGAGCGGAAAATACAAGTTTTTAATTTTAAGAAGAGATCAGTATCAGAAATTTTCATTTGAAAGGTAACATTCATTGTTTACGAGGCTCAGAATAGGCCAGGTGCAGTGTGGTTCACACCTGTAATCCCGGCACTTTGGGAGGCTGAGGTGGGTGGATACTTTGAGGTCAGGAGTTCCAGACCTGGCCAACATGAAACCCCGTCTTTCCTAAAAATACAAAATTAGCCAGGTGTGGTGGCCAGCAGCTGTAATCCCAGCTACTCAGGAGGGTGAGGCAGGAAAATCGCTTGACACTCAGGAGGCAGAGGTTGCAGTGAGCTGAGATCACGCTACCGTACTCTAGCCTGGGTGAGAAAGTGAGACTCTATCTCAAAAAGAAAAAGCCTCAAGAGTAAATATTCTACTCTATAAATTCTTTGGATTAACATAATTTCCGGAAAACAAAGCTCTTTATTTGGGCTCCTTTGCCACTTCACCATCAAAGAGGCCTAACATGGGGACGGTTTTGTTTTTACTTCTATAAAGAACTACATTCAGAGCATCACTAATGCCATGTGACTTCTACAGGTAGATGTTACCCTACATTAAGATCTATATTCAGTTGCCAGGCATGGTGGCTCACATCCGTAATCCCAACACTTTGGGAGGCTGAGGCGGGCGGATCACCTGAGGTCAGGAATTCAAGATCAGCCTAGCCAACATGGTGAAACTCGTCTCTACTAAAAATATAAAAATTAGCCAGGCATGGTGGGGGGGCACCTGTAATCCCAGCTACTCGAGAAGCTGAGGCAGGATAATCGCTTGAACCCGGGAGGTGGATGTTGCAGGAAAAAAAAAAGATCTTTATTCAGTTGTAGCCTTTCTCCATACAACACTCTTCTTGGAATTATCAAGAAAAGGTTTTTTTTTAATAAGCTCTTAAAGCCTAGTAAATTCTTATTATCTGCATTCAGGCTATTACAAAGACCACTGTTTGGTGAACACAGCTCAAATTGCTATAAAACAATTCCTGGGTTACCTCTCCTCTTTCTGGGCTAAGAGAGGTGTGACTTTAGTTCAGTATTTCCCATGGGGATAGAGGGAGACTTACAGCATTGGGTTAAGACAATGCTTTATTGTACGGAGAATGTCTAACACACCACAGCGTGTTTACTGTCTCTGCCTGCTGCCACCTCACCCCAACCCGGCCAAAATGCCAGCAGTGCTCTGCAGTCATGGTGACAGCCAAAAAAAAAAAAAAAAAAATAGCCATGCCCTGTTTCCCTGCAGAACCACTACAGTACTCAGAACCCCTTCACACTGGCAGAAGAATGGACAATGCAGGTGCCCCTCAACACTGGCACTGCAGATGCTCCTGAAGCTGGCCAAAGTCCACTAGACCACAGAAAATCTCTAAATAACATGTCCAAACTTTCCTGGAGATCACACATTCTGCCTCCCTGACAAACGTACAGGGCAGTCCCTTGACAGATCCCATGACTATTCCCAGCCTTTGTGCAATGATAAAGATCAGTCATGATCCCCTGTGCTATAGAACCCAAAGGAGACCCGGGCTCTCTGTGAACCTGGGGCATGGGGTAGAGGATTTCTTTTTCTTTTTTTGGAGACGGAGTTTCGCTCTTATTGCCCAGGCTGGAGTGGGCTCGATCTTGGCTCACCGCAACCTCTGTCTTCCGGGTTCAAACGATTCTCCTGTCTCAGCCTCCCGAGTAGCTGGGGTTACAGGCATGCACCACCATGCCCAGTTAATTTTGTAATTTTAGTAGAGACGGGGTTTCTCCATTTTGGTCAGGCTGGTCTTGAACTCCTGACTTCAGGTGATCCACCCACCTCGCCCTCCCAAAGTGCTGGGATTAAAGGCGTGAGCCACTGTACCTGGACACGGGGTGGAAGATTTCTAACTTGAAGATTTCTAGCTGGCAGGCAGCCCAGAGTAGAATTCCCAAAATGAAGATACAAATCTCCCCCCTCCTTTCCCTACCTGCCCCTTAAAGACCCAGAATGTACCAAAAAAATAAATATCCTTTCTTGATTTCGCAACTTTTTTTACTGTAAGCCAACCCCCTCGCCAATGCTATCACACCAACCTGCAAACCAACCCACTTCAAACTAGGAAGTTGTCTGACATTGAATAAAGATTCTTACTTTTTCCAGTTTTATATTTAAAAGGATATTTTCAAAGATGGTTCAATATTAAGAATTATTTTTTCTCTTAAACACAGATAAAAGTGGAATGGCCAGGAAACTTTACGGCGCAAATGCTTTGTAATAATATAATTACGCAAGTCATCCAGTTTATCTTTCTCCCTCAGGGGACATTACACCAAGCCATCTGACGAAAAAGAGCAGGGAGAGACTATCCATCAGTGTCCCTAAATACTCCCGCAAAGAAGCCTCAAGGAAAGGTTGCCCAAAATTGGGAGTAGACAGCTACAGGTATAGACTCCATGCCTCCTTACATGTACAGTGAGGAGACTGACCTGATCAACTCCAGGATCCTCTCCAGGCTGATAGTTTGAAATTAAAGGCAACAGAATAACAATTTCAGTCAAAATCCAGAGACCAAGGGAGGAATTAAGAAATAGTTTGTGGAGATCAGGATTTGTCACAGCAAAGTTCCAGACTAAAGGGGTGTGGAGGGATGGGCCTATAGAAAGAGCCATCAAGGCTGGGCATGGTGGCTCACGCCTGTAATCCCAGCACTTTGGGAGGCCAAGGTGGGCGGATCACCTAAGTTTGGGAGTTCAAGACCAGCCTGACCAACATGGTGAAACTCCATCTCTACTAAAAATACAAAAATTAGCTGGGCATGGTGGCACACACCTATAATCCCAGCTATTCAGGAGGCTGAGGCAGGAGAATCGCTTGAACCCGGGAGGTGGAGGTTGCAGTGAGCTGAGATCTTACCATTGCACTCCAGCCTGGGTGACAGAGCAAAACTCTGTCAAGAAAGGAAGAAAGGAGAAAAGGAAGGAAGAAAGAAAGACGGAAAGAAAGACAGAAAGAAAGAAAGACAAGAAAGAAAGAGAGAGAGAGAGAGAAAAAGAAAGAAAGAAAGAAAGAAAGAAAGAAAGAAAGAAAGAAAGAAAGAAAGAAAGAAAGAAAGAAAGAGAGAGAGAGAGAGAAAAAGAAAGAAAGAAAGAAAGAAAGAAAGAAAGAAAGAAAGAAAGAAAGAAAGAGAAAGAAAGAAAGAAAGAGAGAGTGAGTCAACAGAATGCCAGGTGCCACGGTTATGCCTGTAGTCCCAGCTACTTGGGAGGCTGAGGCAGGAGGATCCCTCGAGCACAGGAGTTTACTCAGCCTGGGTAACATAGTGAGAACTTGCCTTAAAAATTTGTTTTTTGTCTAAAAAAATAAAAAGAGCCATCAGAGAACCCCACAAGTGGACCAAGGTGAGGGCTTACATGGGGTCCAAGCTATGATGTTCTTTCACAGCAATGATTCCTGGGTGCAATGGAAGGAGGCTCTGGAGAAAAGGCGGCCCCAGGCAGAAAGGCAGGGAGTAGGTTTGGGTTGAGCCCTTCTTCTGAGCTGAGGCTACAAACATTAAAACATACGTCTAGAGGGTGCCCCAGCTGCAAGAGTCAGGACGGAGACACCCCAAAGGAAACAAGTATTTGGGGGTGGGGCTTGGGGGCTCTGGAGGGTGAAGGGAAAGAGAGGAGCTGGGGAACTTCCCAGTCTTCTACAACTTTACAAAAGAGTGGACCCCAGGCAATCTTGGCCTTCTTCTCCCTTTAACCTACATACTATCTATAGTCTCTGGCTTCCTACAATTTCTGTCAAGAATCCTAGATATTCCTGCAATTATGTTCAAATGACAGTTCCCACCCAGACGATGTGGCCTTTTTGTAACATCCTCCAACCTTTCATTCCTCTGAGTCAGGAAGGAAAACAAACTCTTCAGAAGTCCAGATCTGAAAAAACCCTAGTTGGGCTGACTCCCACTCCTACAGCATCCCTTTTATTCCCAGGCCCTAGTAAGCCTGAATTCAGAGTTCTTAAAGCTGACCCCTTGAAGAGCTGCAGTGGGTAATTACAGCAAACATCAATCACATGGGCCCTGGGGGAACTAACTCCTGGGGGCACTAACTGCCCAGCCCACAGAGTGTGCTCTCGCCTACACATTACAGAAGTACCCACAGAGCAGACTGGTCATCCTCGTCTCCACTTTGTAGGGTCTGCAGTTTTATATGTTCTCATCCCATCAGGCACTGCAGTTCTGTAGTTTACCCATTCAATAACAATGTTTGTTGCTGGCATCTAGACAGATTTTTTTTTTTTTTTTTTTTTTTTTTTTTTTTAGTAGCTATCAACTTTGAAAATTGACACCTTTTGGGAATACCAGACCAGCCCTTGCCAGTCTCCACTATGGTGACTCAGTCCTGTAAGAGACAACATTTTATTCATCATCTCTCACTCAAGGGCCAACTCAGAAGAATTCTTTACACCTGCTAGAAATAGTGAGAAAATATGATAGGGTGAAAATTCCATGTTGTGAAATGCCCTGTGTGTGGTAACCCTATGCAAGAGGCTAAGAAGAATTTTTGCCGTCTTTTCCATTGAAGGGTTTACGGCAAATCCAAACTCTACTTTATCTAAAGGGAATTTCTTTCTTTTTTTTTTTTTGAGATAGAGTTTCTCTCTTGTTGCCCAGGCTGGAGTGCAATGGCGCGATCTCAGCTTACTGCAACCTCCACCTCCTGGGTTCAAGCAATTCTCCAGCCTCAGCCTCCCGAGTAGCTGGGATTACAGGTGTATACCACCACGCCCAGCTAATTTTTGTATTTTTAGTAGATATGGGGGTTTCATCATGTTGGCCAGGCTGGTCTCAAACTCCTGACCTCAGGAGATCCATCCACCTCAGCCTCCCAAAGTGCTGAGATTATAGGCGTGAGCCACCGCACCGGCCAATGGCAAATATATTTTTTTTCATATGCTCGTAGGTACCCAGTAACCCACAAAAACATATGATTTTATTCTGTCAAATATCTTCATAGTTGGTTTTTTAAGAGTCAGGGTCTCACTCTGTTGCTTAGGCTGGAGTGGAGTTACCCCTAGCTCACTGCAGCCTTAGACACCTGGGTTCAAGTGATCCTCCCATCTCAGCCTCCTGAGTAGCTGGGACCACAGGCACGCGCCATCATGCCTGATTTTTTTTTTTTTAAGAAACAGGATCTCGCTATGTTGTCCAGGCTGGTCTCAAACTCCTGGGTTCAACTGATCCTCCTGCCTCAGCCTCCCAAAGCGCTGGGATTACAGGTGTGAGCCACTGCACCACGCAGCCTGCTTCCTGTATTGTAAGTACTCAGTGAACAACTTAGGAATTAGTAAAATTGAAAGGCCAGAAAGAAGTCACCAGAGTCCATTATGCAACAAGGAAACTCTGTCACTTTGTCACACACAGGCCAACAATGAATGTATGTAACCATCATCTTAACACCCACCTGCAAAACAAGCATTTTATGGCTTGATGCATGACCCTGAGCAAATAGACTCCAAAACGCCTGTGTCCCTGTTGGTCCCTTTTTAATAGCAGAAGCTGTTAAAGGAGGTAAGAGAAAATGCCAACATGCTCAGAAAGACATTGTATTTATACAAGCTATCGCCACCAGGAGTGCTTACTTTCAGCAAAAAGCAAGATTATAATGTGTCTATGACTCAATTCAATGGAATTGAATTTTTACACTGAACATTAACAAAATGTAAACACAGAAGTAAAGGCTAAATGTGAAAAGGTTGCTGTCAAAGGGAAGCTTAGTTATCAGCAAAATATATATCCAGATTAACTAGCCATTTCTATCCTTGACTTTTCTCCCTCTAGCAATCTTATAAGCCTTTTAAAGGTGGAATAACACCCACCACAAGCATCTGAAACACAGCCCACTTATGTATCACATCTACTTTTGGAGGAGCCGGTTTGCTTAGTGAACAACAGCATTGTGGGTTTTAGCAGAAAAGAGAAGGAACATTTCCTGTCTGAACAGAATGACCACGCATGCAGCACTTTGTACTCTTTCCATCAACAGCAGAACAAAGCTATTTCCTTTGGATTAGAAAGCTGCCAGGACATGCTGGCACATTTTATCTCTTCTTTACTTTGTGCTCCCCTGCCCTCCAGTAAGGGTACAGCAAACTACTATTCAACCATCTTTTAAAGGGTGTTAGGCAATGGTGCTGCAACATACCATATATTTGCTTTACTGACCCCAAATAAAAACAAGTAAGGTAAATGAAGTTCAAATATTTAGAGTTCATGCTTTTCACCTTTTTACTTGTGGTTGTTTTCCCCCCTCCTCAAATGGTATTTGTTTCTGCAGCCTCACAGCAACTGAAAGTTATTTCAATTCTTTTCCTGCAATTTTAAACTCTGCAAAAATGGCCTTGAGTAACTCCCAAGACTTACCATGAATATAAGATACATCCGATTAAGAGGCTGGTCCCCAGTATAGTCACCAAGTTTTCATCTCTGTACAGGTCTTGACCAAAGTCAGGAACACAGATTGTAACATTTTTTCCATGTTCATCTAGAACTTGTAAAGAAAAAACAAAGTCATCATAGTGAAATAGAAAGTCCAGTTGTAACTCACAGAAGCACTCATTTTGGCAAAACTCAGGTAGCTGTGGTGTACCTCCTTAGAATAGTGAACACTTATCACTGGAAACTTCTACTCTACAGGCTGTTTCCATGCAGACTGGATTTCTGCTATTTCAAAGAACCATTCTCCCACATCATCACACCCTTGGAACAAGACCCTCAGATTCCAGCTCAGTGCCATGGGGCTCAAACAGATCCAGGACCTAAGGAGAGAGTCTTGCTCATTTTCAGTACTATTCAAACAATAGTAAAAAGACAGGTCAGGCGCATTTTTCAGTTGACAGGACAGCCCCTAAAGAGAGGTAGGGTGCAGATACCAAGCAGTGCTGAGGTGAATCAACAGCCAACAATAGCTCCTAAACCAGTTGAGAAGCTATTTAGATGTGATATGATAATCGCGATATCTTTCTGTCTACAACTTGGAAACCTCCTGAGGTTTTTTTTTAAATATGGGTGACCACATGTGATATTGTGAAATATGTATTTGGTCTTCATCCGCATTTACTTGCAAGCAACTCCTAAAATCCTTGAAATCTCCAAAATGGTGTCTTTTTGTATGTTAATGATGAACTAATGGCTGGCAGCCCCTAGGCAGCTTCAGGATGGGGGCTGGTCACCAGAAAGACCAAGGTAGGATTAGAGGGTTGGGGCTTTCAGACCCACTCTCCAAACTCCAGGAATGGGAGGAATGGGAGAAATGACAGTTGATCACCACGGGCCAATGGTTTAATCCTGTGTAATGACTTCAATCATGCCTGTGTAACGAAGTCTCCATAAAAGGCCCAAAAGGACATGGTTCAGAGAGCTTTCTGAGAGCTGGAGGCTTACAGGAAGGTGAACACGACCTCATCCACATGTTAGGAACCCAGCCACACCAACTCCATGGAGACAGAAGCTCGGGACCCTTCCAGACCTTGCCTTATACGTATTTTCACCTGCCTGTTTACTCATATTCTTTAAAATATCCTTTGTAATAAATTAGTAAAGATAAGTATTTCCTGAGTTCTGTGAGCCACTCTATCAAATTAATCCATCCCAAAGAAGGGGTAACTGTGGGAGCCCTAACAGTTGGTCAGAAGTTATGGGGGGCCGGACTTGTGACCAGCGGGAAGGGTAGGGCTGTTTTGTGGAATTGAGCCTTCAACCTGTGGGATCTGACCTCATCTCCAGTTGGAGCATCCGAATTGGATTGGAGGACACCCAAGTGAAGCCCACTGCGGAACTTCCTGCCTGCTTGCTGGTGGGCACAAATCTCCACATATTTTAGTGTCACAGAAACCTTCTGTGTTGACTGTTGTAGTGTGAAACAGAAGAAAAACTGAGTTATTCTAAACACTACGTAACAAAGATTCCTATAATATAACCATCAGTGGTAATTTACCTTTTACCTGACATGGGGTCTTCCATTTGGAACACCCAACCTAGGTCTGACTGCCAACTTTGCCACCAAAGCAAGTAACATAAACATAAAATAACACTCCAGAAACCACTTTACAAACGTGTACATTTTAAGTGTCTGAAGTGAAACTAAAATTATTTTTTTTTTCTTTTTTCTTTTTCAGTAGAGATGGGGTTTCACCATGTTAGCCAGGATGGTCTCGATCTCCTGACCCCGTGATCCGCCCGTCTCGGCCTCCCAAAGTGCTGGGATTACAAGCTTGAGCCACCGCGCCCGGCCGGGGAGACTAAAATTATGACTGGTATTTGCACTTGAAACAGTAAACATAACTGTGTATGCTGTGGTTTAAAGAATCTTTTATTATTTGTATAAATTTATGGGGTACAAGTGTTAGTTTTACATATAGTGGAGAAGTCTTGGCTTTTAGTGTATCTATCACCCAAATAATGTGTATTGTACCCATTAAGTAATTTCTCACCATCTATCCCCTCCCTCCTTCCTATGTTTGAGACTTCACTATCATTCCACACTCATGTCCATGTGTAGACACTATTTAACTCCCACTTAAAAGTGAGAACATGCAGTATTTTTCTGTGTCTGCTTGTTTTACTTAAGATAATGGCTTCGTTTCATCCATGTTGCTACAAAAGACAGGATTTCATTCTTTTTATGGCTGAATAGTATTCCATTGTGTGGATATATACATATATATATATTTGTATATATATAAATCACGTTTTTTTTTTTGAGACAGAGTCTCGCTCTGTAGCCCAGGCTAGAGTGCAGTGGTGCGATCTCGACCTCGGCTCACTGCAAGCTCTGCCTCCCGGGTTCACGCCATTCTCCTGCCTCAGTCTCCTGAGTAGCTGGGACTACAGGCGCCCGCCACCGCGCCCGGCTAATTTTTTGTATTTTTAGTAGAGATGGGGTTTCACCGTGGTCTCGATCTCCTGACCTCGTGATCCGCCCACCTCGGCCTCCCAAAGTGCTGGGATTACAAGCGTGAGCCACCGTGCCCGGCCAAATCACGTTTTCTTTATCCAATCATCTATTGATGGACACTTAAGGTGATTCCATATCTTTGCTATTGTGAACTGTGCTGCGATAAACACAGAGGTGCAGGTATCTTTTTGAAATAATGATTTCTTTTCCTTTTCATAGATACCCAGTAGTGGGATTGCTGGATCAAATGGTAGCTCTATTTTTAGTTCTCTGAGAAATCTCCACACTGTTTCCCATAGTAGCTATGCTAATTTACATTTCCATCAACAGTGTAAGTGTTCCCATTTCTCCACATCCTTGCCAACATCTGTTACTTTTTGTCTATTTAATACTAGCCATTCTGACTGATGTGAAATGGCATCTAGTTATGGTTTTAATTTGCATTTCTCGGATGATTAGCAATGTTGAGCATTTTTTTCATATGCCTGTTGGCCATTTATATGTCTTATTTAGAAAAAAAATTAAATGTCTATTCATGTCCTTTGACCACTTTTTAATGGATTTAGTGGTTTTTGTTTTTGAATTGAGCTCCTTGTAAATTCTGCATATTGCTCCCTTGTAAGACACAGTTTGCAAATATTTTCTCTGATTCTGCAGGTTGTCTGTTCACGCTGTTGATTATTTCTTTTGCTGTACAGAAGCTAATTAGATTAATATAGTTCCATTTGTCTGGTTTTGTTTTTGTTGTCTGTGCTTTTGAGGTCTTAGTCATGAATTCTTTGCCTTGAGCAATATCCAGAAGAGTTTTCCTCTAGTATTTTTATAGTTTCAGGTCTTACATGTAAGTCTTTAATCCACCTTTTGTTGGTTTTTGTATGTGGTGAGAGACAGGGTAGGGGTTCAGCATAAGGAAATCCAAATTTTCCAGGACCACTTATTGAAAAACGTATCCTTTCCCCAGTGTGTGTTCTTGTCAACTTTGTCAAAGACCAGATGGCTATAAATATGTGGCTTTACTTCTGGGTTCTCTATGCAGTTCCATGGATCTATTCTTATGCAAATACCATGCTATTTTGCTTACTGTAGCTTTGTAGCGTAATTTGAAGAAGGGACTCCTCCAGCTTTGAAGTGTGATTCCTCCAAGCTTTGTTCTTTTTGCTCAGGATTGCTTTAGCTATTCTGGCTCTGTTGTTTCCATACAAATTTTAGGATTGTTTTTCTGTGAAAAATATCATTGATATTTTTATAGGGATAGCACTGAATGTGTAAGACTGCTTTAGGCAATATGGTCATTTTAACAATATTTATTCTTCTGATCCATGAGCATGGGATGTCTTTCCATTTGCTTGCATTTTTTTTTTTTTTTTGAGACGTGGTCTTGTTCTTTCACCCAGTCTGGTGTACAGTGGCCTGATCATAGATCACTGTAACCTCAAGCTCCTGGGCTCAGGTGATCTTCCCACCTCAAACCCATGAGTAGCTAGAACTGCAGGTGCATGCCACCACACCCAGCAAATTTGTAAATTTTTTGTGGAGATGGGGTTTTGCTATGTTGCTCAGGCCGGCCTCAAATTCCTGGCCTCAAGCTATCCTCCCACCTTGGCCTCCCAAAGTGCTGGGATCACAGGAATGTGCCACTACTTATGGCCCCTCCCTCTAAGTTTTTCATCAGTGTTTAGCAGTTTTCATTGTAAAGATCTTTCACCTCCTTCATTAAATGTATTCTTAGTTATTTTATTTTTTGTAGCTATTGTAAATGGGATCAGCTTCTTCATTTGGTTCTCTGCTAGATGATTACTGGTGTATAGAAACACTACTAATTTTTTTTTTTTTGAGGCGGAGTCTTGCTCCGTTGTCCAGGCTGGGGTGCGGGGGTGCAGTAGTGTGATCCTGGCTCACTGCAACCTCCCCCTCCCGGTTCAAGTGATTCTCCTGTCTCAGCCTCCCAAGTAGTTGGGATTACAGATGTGTGCACCACCAGGACTCACTAATTTTTATATTTTTAGTAGAGACAGGGTTTCACCATGTTGGCCAAGCTGGTCTTGAGCTCCTGACCTCAAATGATCCACCCACTTTGCCTTCCCAAAGTGCTGGGATTACAGATGTGAGTCAACGTACCCAGCCAAAACACTAGTAACTTTTGTATGTTGATTTTGTATACCTCAATATTATTGAATTCGTTATACAAATCTAAGAGTGTTTTGGTGGAACCTTTTGGGTTTTCTAGATACAGAATCATATCATCAACAAACATGATAATTTGACTTCCTCTCTTCCAATTTGGATGCCTTTTATTTCTTTCTCTTGCCTGAGTGTCCTGGCTAGGACTTCCAGTACTATGGTGAATAGGCATGGTGAAGGTAGGCACCCTTATCTTGGTCCAGTTCTCAAAAGTTATGTTCCTACTTTATTGAGGGTTTTTTTTTTTTTACCACAAAAAGATGCTGAATTTTAACAAATGCTTTTTCTGCATCTATTGAAATGATCACATGGTGTTTATCTTTAATTCTGTTTATGTAATATGTAATGTATGATGTATCATATTTATAAATTTGCATATGTTGAATCATTCTTGCCTCTATGGTACAATGCCCACTTGATCATGGTATATTATCTTCTGATTACTATTACATTGTGTTTGCTAGTATTTTGTTGAAGATTTTTCCATCTATGTTCATCAGGGGTATTGGTCTGTAATTTTCTTTTTTGTTGTATCCCTGTCTGGTTTTGGTTATCAGGGTGATATATCAGGCCTTGTATAATGAGTCAGGGAGAGTTCTTTCCTCCTCCATTTTTTGGCACAATTTCAGGAGGACTGGTATTAGTTCTCCCTTATATGTTTGGTAGGATTTGGCTATGACTCCATCCGGTCCTGGCTTTTTCTTATTGGAAGATTTTTTAAATCACTGATTCAGTGTCACTATTCATTATTGGATTGTTTAGGATTTCTATTCCTTCTTGCTTTCCAGAAATGTATCCATTTCCTCTAGGTTTTCTAGTTTGTAAGTATATGGATGTTCATAATAGTCTGTAATGATCTTTGTACTTTTGTGGTATTATTGTGATTTTTCCTTTTTCATTTCCAATTTTGTTGATTTGGTCTTCTCTCTTCTTGGTTAGTCTAGGGGCTTATCAATTTTGTTTATCTTTTCAACAAACCAACTTTTTTTTGTTTTGTTGATCCTCTGTATTTTTCTCATGGGTTTTTTTTTTTGGTGGGGGGAGGTCTGTATTTTATTTAGTTCCTTATTTTTTTGAGACAAAGTCCCTGTCTATTGCCCTGGGTAGAGTGCAGTGGTGCAATAAGAGCTCACAGTTCACTGCAGCCTCAACCTCTGGGGCTCCAGGGATTCTCCCACCTCAGCCTCCTGAGTAGCTGGGACTACAGATGTGCGCCACCATGCCTGGATACTTTTTTGTATTTTTTTGTAGGGACAGGGTTTCGCCACGTTGCCCAGGCTGGTCTCAAACTCCTGGGATCCTGCAATCTGCCTGCCTCAGCCTCCCGAAGTGCTAGGATTACAAGCATGAGCCAGCTCACACAGCCCTGATATTTGTTATTTCTTTTGTTCTGCTAACTTTGGGTTTGGTTTCTTCTTGATTTTCTAGTTCCAGGTGCAACATTAGGTTGTTAATTTGTGATCTTTCTACTTTTTTGATGTAGGCATTTAATGCTATAAACTTCCCTGTGTATGCTGTGGTTTCAAGAATCTTTATTCTTAGGCTAATTTAAAAAATGTAGAGCACTTGAAATTTAAAATAAATTTTTTCTGGTTTTTTTTGTTGTTTTTTTTTTCCTGGTAGAGATACATATGTTGCCAAGGCTGGTCTCAGCTCCTGGCTACAAGCAATCTTCCTGCCTCAGCCTCCCAAGGTGCTTAGATTACAGGCATGAGCCACCATGCTCAGCCTTTTTTTGTTTTAAAGGGATACCTGCCATTTAAAAATAGTGTAAATTAAAATCCCAGTAAGTTAAAGCCAGAAATTAATACATAAACAGATATAAAAGAAGTCTTGAAGAGACGAAATTTATGTACACTTACCGAGTCAAGATAAAATATTAAAAAAAAAAAAAAATTAAATCCAGGATAGGCAATACTTACTTAAGACCTCCACTTACATTACTTTCCACTGTAAATAGCAACAAGGACAAGCCCATAAATAGTACGTATATATGCTAAAACTTTCAAAATTATCATTGCACCAGCTTTCCAAATTTAAGAGGAAACAACTTCAATTTTCTTAGACACTACATTTATTTAATTTGATTTATATAAGCTCAAATATACCCAAACATACATTTATATATGCTTATGTGTATGTATATATGTATGTATGTGTGTGTATATTTACATTTATACATCACAAAAGTAATAGAGAGGGTAAGTTAAGTTTCTGCAAGTTACTTAAGCAGCAGGATCAGTCTATAAACCAGGCAGTCCGACTTCAAAGCTCATGCTCTAATCACTATGTTCGGCTGTCTCTGTAAATAAATGTCATTTAGGACGAGTGGTTTGAGGTCACATAGCCAGTAAATCACGGGATCTGTGCTCAGATCCTGCTCCCTACTCCCCACTCCCCCACATTCTTTCCACTCTCTCTGTTTCACTGCTATAGTCAGAAAAGAAAAGAAATACAACTAAATTAAGAGGTTATTTAGGCCTAAAAGCAAACTCCACAGCCAAACCTTTCCTCCTGTCTGTCCTACACACCAGGAAGAATTGAAAAAGGGAATTTTCCTTTACATAGCTCAAGTTAAAGACTTTTTTAACTTTAAAAGAGAGATGAAAAAGTCTAGATCATCTCTCTATTGTGATTTAGTACACTTCTAATATTTATTTTTCAACTTAATTTTTGTGGATACATAGTAGGTGTACATATTTATGTGGTACATGAGATGTTTTAATACAGGCATGAAATATGTAACCATCACATCATCTAAAATGGGGTATCCATCCCCTCATGCATTGATCCTTTGTGTTACAAGCAATTCAATTATACTCTTTTAGTTATTTTTAAATGTACAATTAAATTTGACTGTAGTCACCCTGTTGTGCTATCAAATACTAGGTCTTATTCATTCTTCCTATTTATTGTGTACCCATTAATCATCCCAACCTCCTCCCAAACCTCCCCCAAACCCTTCCCAGCCTCTGGTAGCCATCCTTCTGCTCTCTATCTCCATGGCCTCTCCAATATTTAAACAATAGTTCACTCCTCCATGAATGAAAATATTCACACCGCAAACACAAGCCCCCTAACAGGCTGGCTTACCTACTTCTGCAGGTTTGCTGGACAGAGCTGAGAAGGTGAGGTAGGTGACATAGCAGCTTATGACCCCTGATTGTAGGAGCCCCGAGTGCGGCTGTCCTGAAAAATGACAAGAGACAGACAGACAACAGGTTTTAATTTGAAGAAAAAGAAAGCATATGCCTAGAAAACCTGACAGTCCCCATGACAGTCCTCAAACTTGAGCATCCACCTTTAAAGGAAAGAAAAGAGAAAAAAAAAATGTAGTATGTTTCTCAGATAAAACTAAAAAGATATTAAGGGGGAGAGAGTTACACACTGAGCTGAACATTGCTATTTTAAAGATGTCAGGTTCTGCCAAGTTCTCTACCAATACTTTATCAAGCCTATGGCTATACTTAAATACACTAACTAGTCTCCCTGAGGTTTGTAACATTAGTTCTTAAATCCCAAGATCAGAAAAAAAATTACCGTCATTGTTGATAAAACCACATAGCTTAGTTGGGGAGGGGAGTAAGCGGTAAACCAGATTTCACAGGGGATGTATTCCGGATTCTACAAGGTCATCACATACCACAATCTATGACAGGACAAAAAGCTCTTACCTGCCAATGGACAAAAAGCTTTTGGGAACAGAATACAAGAATTGCTCTTGGCTAAAGAGGAAGGCTATGGGGCTCAGCATTCACTGGGAGAAGGGCTTTAAGGTTATTTATTGATTCATTTATTTTTAACTTTTATTTTAGGTTTGGGGGTGTATATGCAGGTTTGTTGTAAGGGGAAAATTATCATGGGGGTTTGTTGTACAGATTATTTCGTCACCCAGGTATTAAGTCTAGTACCCATTAGTTATCTTTCCTGATCCTCTCCTTCTTCCCACCCTCCACCTTCTGATGGATAGGCCCCAGTGTGTGTTGTTCCCCTCTATGTGTCCATATGTTCTCATCATTTAGCTCCCACTTTTAAGCAAGAACATGTGGTATTTGGTTTTCTGTTCCTGTGTTCATTTTAAGGATAATGTCTTCCAGCACCATTCATGTTCCTGAAAAGGACATGATCTCTTACCTTTTTATGGCTACACAGTATTCCATAGATTCCATAGTGTATATGTACCACATTTTCTTTATTCAGTATACCATTGATGGGCATTTAGGTTGATTCCATATCTTTGCTATTGTGAATAGTATTGCAGTGAACATACGTGTGCCTGTGTCTTTATGTGAGAACCATTTATATTCTTTGGGTATATACCCAGTAATGAGATTGCTGGGCCTAATGGTAGTTCTGTTTTTAGGTCTGAGGAACTGCCACACTGCTTTCCACTATGGTTGAACTAATTTACATTCCCACCAACAGTGTATAAGTGTTCATTTTTCTCTGAAACTTCACAAGCCATCTGTTATTTTTTGAAAGTTATAATATTTCAAGTAAACTAAAGGTTCAGATCTTTCAGGGTAACCAGGATGTGATAAGGGATCTCTCTTTTTTTCCCGTGAAATTTTCGACCACTTACTGACATAAAAGGATGCAGTTTTACTCAGTCTTGTGGTCAAATTTGTTTCCAAAATTATCATTATTAAATTATAATTACCGATAAAGACATAAAACAGACCCTGTTATAATGTTGCTCTTTGGCAAGGAAATAAGATTTCCCTTAGCACCTAATGGTACTAAACCAAATATTTCAGAACATTATCCCTATTTCAAAAGATAAAGATTTAACCCAAAGATTTTAATCAGAATATCAAGTTATTCTAGGAACTCTTAACTGATCAATTAAAGGGATTAGGCAAATACTCTCAATTTCAATAATGGTCTTAAAATTTTTAACAGAGGAAAACATAGTATTTGTGACTAGTTTTTTTTTTCCTTCTTCTTTTTTGACACAGAGTCTCACTCTGTCACCCAGGCTGGAGTGCAGTGGGGGGATCTTGGCTAACTGCAACCTCTGCCTCCCGGGTTCAAGCAATTCTCCTGCCTTGGCCTAACCAGGTAGCAGGGACTACAGGCGTGCGCCACCACAGCTGGTTAATTTTTTTGGGTATTTTTAGTAGAGACGGGGTTTCCCCATGTTGGCCAGGCTGGTCTTGAACTCCTGACCTCAGATGATCTGCCGCCTGCCTTGGCCTCCCAAAGTGGGGATTACAGGCACGAAACACCGCACCCGACCACTAGTTGCCTTTTTAAACCACTATCTTAGAAAGGATTCAAGGGGGCTGTAAATTTATCGCCTATATTTTCCTACCTAGAACCTGAATGTCATGCGCATTTTCATCACCTATAGGGTCCGACACCCACAAAAAAACATCAGACCAGGGACATCTCACTGTAAGCCCAAAGACACTATATCCTGGCTTAAGAAACCAAGAGTAGTTTATAAATGACAATTCACATGTACACTTCCTAAAGCACTTTCAAATGCCACTGTCTCTTCCTTCCGGCTTTGAAATGACCATGAACAAGGTCAGGCTCACATGTTTCCACTGACTTCACTGAGGAAGAACCTGGGTCTAAGGAAGGTTAGCACATGGGCCAGCTGCTGGCTGAGCTAGGATGGGATGTCCTGCTTCCTGACTCCCAGACCACACTGCCCACAGCCTTGAGTGAAAGATGACCCGAGAACCAACCCTTTCTGCGGCCCTTTCATTCAACTTTTACACAGAGATTGTAGGCAAGCTCATAAACAACTGACTTGATATACTTGGAAGGCATTTCCCATTTAAAGGCTCCTTGTGGTACATTATTTAGCAAAGGCAGTATCTTCCTATTCATTGACTTCGTTAAGTTCAGGTCTTTCTCGACATGAGAAATGCTTGCCTATCACAGCTCGAGCGTGAGATATGAAGAGACTGGAGCCCCACCTTGCCCACTACTGACACATCCACAGTAAGTTAAGGAATACCCTAGTTAAAAAAAAAAAAAAAAAAAAACCATTGAGTTTGCTCAAAGACACTTAGGAAAATATAAATAAGGAAGAATGGAAAAACCATGCTTACGATTTTGGACACAGGGCGAGATGGCTACCAATGAAATAAGCACACACAGGCCTCCATTTACTCCCAGCAGAATTTTGTTTTCCATGCAGCCGTCTTTCTGTGTGTAAAACACTGCCATCAAAACCAAGCCTCCAGTGGCAATGGAATACATGATGAGTGTCACCAGGGCCAGGGAGGCGTACCACAGCTTGTTACTGGCTGTGCCTGCTGTCCTGTTTCTCCGGGAAGTGGGTAAGAGGGAGAGGAGAGAAGACAAGTCAATGAAGCCCACCATTCTCTGATAACATTCACCATCCCTCAGGCAGTAACTAATACTACAGGCCACAGGCACTGGTACCCAGCTGCCCAGAAGACACATTATTTTAGCAGTGATTATGCTCTATCAAAGCTAGAAGGTTCTGGTAAATATGGAAACTTCTTGACTAAAGCTTAGAATTTTCTCTCAACACTGAGAGAATTCCACTTTCTGCAGCAAATGTATTCATTCATTAAAATGAATAATGTCAACCCAAATGAGAGACTGAGGCAACAGTCTCAATCAACCGAGGTTTACTGAGCCAGAGGTTTGAGGGTGCACCCAAAAACACACAAGTCACAGAATCTTCTGTGGCTGGTGCTCCCAAAGAGGTTGCAGAAGGCTCGGATTTACCCACTTCTTTAAAGGGAAGAAGGCATGCAGTTTTAAAGGGGACAGGTGGTGAGGCAAACGCGACATTCTCCCGAGATTTTAACTAGTGCCCAGTAAACTCCGCTATACAAGAGATATGATAAACATTTCAAAAGGGAGTAAAGGAAGAGTTCATTATATAGTCTCAGGGTAGGCAGAGAAATGACTGCTCTCCTGTCTTTGTTCTGCACCTGAGAAGATAAGCTTGTAATGGGCATTGTCAGTGTGAAATGTAACAGACTGCAATTCCATGGACAAGGAGCTAGACTTAGGTCGCAGACCAAAAGTTACAGCTGATATGCCCTTTTTTATGGGAAGATACATATCTTGAAAGGTTTAGGGATCAGCAGATAATTTACTTATGAGCAATTTGAGGGCAGTAAACTGGGATGCACGGGGCCTTTTGCCTTCTGTAGAGGTCTACCTAATGTGTAGTCCTTTGACACAAGGTTGGGAAGTCACAGCTATCTATGGGCAGGTGGGGGGGAGACAGCAGTGTCACGTGACTCTGTCTCCAGGTTTAACTCTCTGTTTGGTGTAATGAGTTTGAGCAGTCCTGAGACTCTTCATTTCCTTTAGCCACCTACAGACTTTATTCTAGCTTCTCCATTCTAACTGTGAACCACCCTGGGTCAGTTTTTGGCAGGAAGAAAAAGTTGCTCTTCACTGGGCTTCTCCAAGTTTTCTCCATAAACATAGAGCCCCAAAGTGCCATAGTCTCTACTCCAAAGTGCTGCCAGGAGAGGTGGCTCACACCTGTAATCCCAGCACTTTGAGAGGCCAAGGCAGGCGGATCACTTGAAGCTAGGAGTTCAAGACCAGCCTGGGCAACATGGCAAAACTTTGTCTCTACAAAAATTAGAAATATTAGCAGCGTGTGGTGGTGCAAACTTGTAGTCCCAGCTGCTTGGGAGACTGAGGTAGAAGGATCACCTGAACTCCGGTGGATGACGGCGGCTATGAGCCATGGCTGCACTCCAGTTTGGGCAAGAGTGAGACCCTGTCTAAATTTTTTTTTTTTTTTTTGAGATGGAGTCTCGCTCTGTTGCCCAGGCTGGAGTGCAGTGGTGTGATCTTGGCTCATTGCAACCTCCACCTCCCAGGTTCAAGCAATTCTCTGCCTCAGCCTCCCTCGTAGCTGGAATTACAGGCACCCACCACCATGCCCGGCTAGTTTTTGTCTTTTTATTAAAGACGGGGTTTCACCATCTTGGCCAGGCTGGTCTTGAACTCCTGACCTTGCGATCCACCTGCCTCTGCCTCCCAAAGTGCTAGGATTACAGGCATGAGCCACTGTGCCTGGCCCTAAATATTTAATAATAATAATAAATAAACTTTTAAAAACAGAAACAAAGTTTTGCCAGCAGCTCTTCTGGATGCCATCTTCTTAGGGAGAAAAGAGAATTACCTTTACTAAGAACCATATTGGCTGACCTTAGCTCTTTATTCCTTGAACTGAAGAGAAGGGCCTGTAACTGTGCTGCTTCTTTATCTAAAATAGTATCAGGGAATACTAAAAGAAAATTTGACATTAAAAAAAGTTAAATAGATAGGAATAAATTCTGGTGATCAACTGTATGGTAGGGTGATGATGGCTAGCAGTAAGGTATTGTATATTACAAAACAGCTAGAGGAGAGGCTTTTGAAGATTCTCAACACAAAGAAATGATACAGCCTGGCCAACAGAGCAAGACCCCATCTACAAAAACCAAAAACCAAACCAAAACAAAAAACAAAGATATTAGCTGGACATGCTAATTAGCTAGCTTCTTGGGAGGCAGAGGCAGGAGGATCTCTTGAGCCTAGGAGTTCAAGGCTGCAGTGAGTTACGACTGCGCCACTGCACTCCAGCCTGGGTGACAGAGTGAGACTCTGTCTCTTTAAAAAAAAGAAAAAAAAAAGAAAGGAAAGAAAGAAAAAGATGATAAATCCATGAGGTAATGAATAGCCAACTACCTTGATTTGATTACTGTATGACATATATGTATCAACATGTCAAAATGTACCCGATAAATATGTACAATTACAATACATCAATTAAAAAATAAATTAGGGCACAGTGGCTCACACCTGTAATCCCAGCACTTTGGGAGGCCAAGGCGGACAGATTACAAGGTCAGGAATTCGAGACCAGCCTGACCAACATGGCAAAACCCCATCTCTACCAAAAATACAAAAATTACCCGGGCATGGTGGTGCATGCCTGTAATCCCAGCTACTTGGGTGGCTGAATCGCTTGGACACCAGAGGCAGAAGTTGCAGTGAGCCCAGATCATGCCACTGCACTCCAGCCTGGGCAAGAGAGGAAGACCCTGTCTCACACAAAAAAGGAAATTGTTCAGAACAAAGAAAAGTATCTATAAATGCTAAATGAACTAGACAGAACAACAGGGAGAATGAATTGAATGAATCATTGTCATCTGCCTTATGATTATACTGCTCTTTGTAACCACATTCTCCCAAACCTCACAGAAAAAGCAACTTACTTTATGCCCTCACAAAACTGGAAAGTGTTCAAGCAACCCAGTTAAAATGTTTTAATGATGAAAAAATTCCTGCAGCCAGAAACAAAGAAAATAGGGAGGAAAGGCCAAAATGAGAATGACCGTCATATTCCTGAAACTGTGCCAGACACTCCAATGGCCTTGGAATTATTCTAACATAAAAGGCGTACAAAGGAAATGAGAGAAAATGGGATTTTAAAAAGGAAAAAACAATCTAAGAGCAAATAATAATGGATGATGGGGAGACAGCGTGAATTATACAGAAAAAGGTAAACACTGCTGACTGGTTTGTGGGTGGGAGATGACCAACATTTCTATTCACTATTCTTTTTGGTTATGTTATTAGAATATGAAGGACTTTCTTACAGTTAATTAATATTTACAGTCCATCCCAAAGTTAAATCTTCAACCCCAACCTTTCCCCTGAACGTCACTTATATTAACCAACTGTTCGTTTAACAATTGGAGACCCACTCGAAGGTCTAATTGGCATCTCAAAGTTAGCACATTCAGGCTAAGGTAACTTCCTGATATTGACACCCCCATTCCTCCCTCCCCCAAACCTGCCATTGTGCAATCATCCCAACCTCAGAAAACAGCAATTCCATCTTCCCATTGTTGGGGGAAGAGAGAAAGAAAGAGGAAAGGAAAGAAAGGAAAGGAAAGAAAGAGGAAAGGAAAAGGAAAAGGAAAGAAGGAAGGAAGGAAGGAAGAGAAGAGAAGAGAAGAGAAGAGAAGAGAAGAGAAGAGAAGAGAAGAGAAGAGAAGAGAGAACAGCACAGAAGAACTGCGGTCACTCTGGAAGCTTCTTGCTGCTCTACCCTCCCCCACCCACCTCCACTCAGAGCTGGCTTTGGAACATATGAGGATCCAGCTCCTTGGTACCACAGAGTTCCAGACTACTCCTCCCTCACCTGGATTGTCTCCCCCTGACCTCCTTACTTGCACCTCTGATATCTTTTCACCTTTCTTGACTTAAAACAGATTATATTCCTCCCTTCTTAAGGCCCTCTGGTGTTCTCCCATCCCACTAAAAATACAAAAAAAAAGTCTTTACACTTGACACCTAAAGCCCTTTGTTTCAATGCTAATAGAGAATTGACACTGTAAACCACAAAATTTGAGCTAGAAAGGAAAAAAAAAGAACACACCAATTAGTCCAAACACATTATTTAAGTGTGAAAACTGAGGTCAGAGGGGCCAACTGTGAAAGAGTGAAAGAGCAAGCATTAAAAGGGGCACTGAAGCCGAACACAATGTCATCCCAGTACTTTGGGAGGCCAAGGCAAAAGGATCTCTTTAACCCAGGAATTCAAGATCAGCCTGGGCAACGTGGCGAAACCCCATCTCTACCAAAAAAAAAAAGATATTAGCCAAGTGTGGTGCCACATGCCTGCAGTCCCAGCTTCTCAGGGTGCTGAGGTGGGAGAATCACTTAAGCCTGGGAAATTGAAGCTCCAATGAGCCATGGTCACACAACTGCACTCCTGCCTGGATGACAAAGTGAGATCCCATCTCAAAAAATAATAATAAAAAAAAAAAAGAAAAAGAAGAAAAGAAAGGGGTACTGAAATCTGCATCTCCCGGTTGCCAGGCCCAAGACCTTTCTACCCTACTGTTTTCAGGATCATCTGCTTCTCAAGATGTTTACAAAGAGATAAATGAAAAAGGGAAGAAAAGGTACTTTAGTTATTCTATTAAGAGCAATGAGCATATTTTCTAGATTCTTATACGTAAGAGTCTGTTAAACTATAAACATGTTGACAATAGGGATTTTTGTTGGCATATATGCCTCAAAGCTTGGATAATAGCAACACTATTTGTTGCAGAGCTTTTAAGTCATTCT